AGACATAGATATATAGATAGGGATATGTACTGTGTTCGTATATTTATATATAGATAGAAAGAGAGATAGATGTACTGTGTGTGTGTGTGTGTACACATACATATACATGCAGAAACAAACATAAATGTACATAAACATTCATACACACACACGCACACGGATATAGATAGATAGGTGGATAGACTGATAGATAGATAAATAAATATGACATGCGCATTGCAATGTCATCATGTACCCATCAGTCCCGAACCCCATCAGTACCAGAATTCCCCAGCGGGCCCAACCTCTGCCGCCACCCAGGAGTAATCCCGGCTGCTACGATTCCTTCCCGCTCGCCACCCAGGAGTAGGCCCAGCAGGCACTCTCGTCCTCTCCTTGGGGCCACGACGTCGGCGTGAGGGACCCGCAAGCCTTCTGTATATTCACGAGCTAGGATACCTCCCTCCCCCACCCCCCCCCAACATACCCTCCGAGGAGTATCCTTCCATCCACCCCGGAAGGTGTCAGCTGACCTCTTTTTCCACGATAAATGGTGCGAATTAAGGATGTAATGTATACCTTATGGGGACGGCCCGAGTGTAATTGCTTATTTTTGACAGTACACGAAACGGAGGTCGTAGGCACGCTGTCTGGAGCTGGCTGGGCGATCGTATTTCCTACATTCGAGTGTGAAATAGATCGAAAGGATTGCGGGGACCTTTTGTGCAGGGTTTGTTTACGGCTGACGGATGGGAGAGGCTGTTGGGACGACGGGCTTTGTTCTTTCGTTGGGATAGGGGGTATAACCTGGATCGCCTGGAGTCTGTGGTGTCTTTGGAGACGGTGGAATTCACGGTTGTTTTTCGTTATTCGCTCTCTCTCTCTCTCTCTCTCTCTCTCTCTCTCTCTCTCTCTCTCTCTCTCTCTCTCTCTCTCTCTCTCTCTCTCTCTCTCTCTCTCTCTCTTCTGTATATATATATATATATATATATATATATATATATATATATATATATATATATATATATATGTGTGTGTGTGTGTGTGTGTGTGTGTGTGTGTGTGTGTGTGTGTGTGTGTGTGTGTGTGTGTGTGTGTGTGTGTGTGCGTGTGTATGACTAACTCTTACTCTGCTTCTCCCTTCATCCCTCTCTTTCGCCTTTAACTCACTCTCCACTCTCCTCGTTCATTCACTCTCACTCGTTACTGAAATATCCGCCAAGGTATTACGACCAATTACGCATTTTATGGATTTCTGGTTCATAGGAGGTCGTGATCCCTGGCGACACTGGATTTTTTTTCATGTTTGATTTGATTTTCACTCTTATTTGGTTTGACAATTCAGGTCATAATATTTTTTTTATTAGTATGAAACTGGGGAAATATTGGTTGTCTCCTTGATAAAGTAAGATGCTGGAGAAGAGATATATTCAAGTCTTTAGTAGATATGAAAAGAAGACATGCATTCCTGAAATTCTACAGGAAGGATAACACGTCCTCTTGCGAAGACGATTCCCCCACCAGTTATCCGCCTGCACGATGCCCTCCTCTTAGCCGAGGGCGCGGAGGGTACCTGCCATCCGCCCGCACACCCACACCCTGGAAATTAGGGGTCATTTTGCGGTTATTACACACCTCATTATTACCTTCGATTTTCCTCGGGAGTACTCGGGAATGGTCGCCCCGTTACAGGACGGTGAGAACTCCGAATTCTACGTTTTTTTTTCCTCGTTGTTGTTGTTGTTGTTATCGCGTTCATGATCTCCGGGCGAGGGTCATTGTGAGAGCGGCCGCAAAACCCACGGTCCGGGGATGACGACGGGGGGAAAAAATCGCGCCGTGGGGAAGAAATGCGTGAGAACTGTGTCAAGAAAAGAAGGCGGACAAGAGAGTACTTTTTGGACAGTCATTTTGTTTATATGTCGTTGAGGTAAATAATAGTTGGGAAGTGCGTTACTGAGCAGTTTCTTTTCTTTCTTTCTTTTTATTCAGTATTCTGTTTTAAATAGTGATAATGAAGAAGGGAGGGAGAGAGGGAGGGAAGGAAGGAGAGAGAGAGAGAGGGAGGGAAGGAAGGAAAGGGAGGGAGGGAGGGAGAGAGAGAGAGAGAGAGAGAGAGAGAGAGAGAGAGAGAGAGAGAGAGAGAGAGAGAGAGAGAGAGAGAGAGAGAGAGAGAGAGAGAGAGAGAGAGAGGAGAGAGAGAGAGAGAGAGAGAGAGATGACAAGGAGGGAGGAAGGGAGAGAGAGAGAAGGAAAAGAGAGAGAAACGGATGGCGAGGAGAGAGAGGAGGGAAGAGAGAGAGAGGGAGATTATTTGTAAGCGAAGGAAAGTAAGAGCAACCCCTTCATCCTTTCCACATCCACATGCCACGGGGGGGGGGGGGAGGACATGCAACCAGGGGATAACCTAAATCTGGACACGATTAACTCAGCGTTGTGGACGATTCGATTGCGAAAAAATACGGATAATTCGCCGAAAGTAGGGGACATTCGCATGGAAACGAGATGGTGGAATCGAACGCAGGAAAAAAAGGAATTAGGCTCGTAAAGCGGGTTTATCTCGTGGAACGGCTCAGAAATGCGACGTTATTGACGTTATTGAGGATGATAAATTTTATCGCTGGACATCTCTATCGATAAGAGGGAAAAATGATGGGTTGTCATCGTCATTGTCCCCGCTTTCTTATTATTGCCGCAGAATTTTTTGCTTGTTTGTGTTTTTTATTTGTCTATTGTAGTTACCCCTTTCGTTTCTTTTCATTTTCATTTTCTTTTTTATATTCGGAGCGGATAAAAAGCATTTTCGAAATTATGGAAGTTCATTTTTTTAATCATTTGTTCATCGTCTTCCTCTCGGTACATAAATTTATGGATAAACATACATATGAAGGCTTACATATTTATTTTTATAGAATTTCGTAAATTAAGAGACTTTTACGGCGCCTTGTACACGGCAAATGAATATTCTAGACAGCTTTCACGGACTCTCTCTGTATACGAAAGTATAAATTTGATTTGCATAACCTTAGAAAGGTGTAGAGGGGCTTGTAAACCCTTGTTAGTAGTCCACGTGACCGTCTAGGGTTATAAGCAAGATTATAGTTGATGATTTACAATGTCTCGTCTCCCCGACCATGAATATGTATGTGTTGTGAGTTGTAAGGTGTCCTAACACTCGAAACGGTCCTGGTTGTTAGTATGTGTGTCCTTCGGTCGGCCATATAAGTGTCATTGGCAGCGGCGAGGAGCCCAGGGTCGAGGTGTTATAAATGCTGGAAGGAAGATGTAACCTTTTGTGTCGTGGATGTTGTGTTGTGTCTGGACCGTTGGCTTGGCTGGGACTTATCGCGTGGGCATATCTTGGCTCGGGAAACTGCTGCTACCATGTAAGGCGTGGCTGTGTCGTCGTAGGGGTGTGTTGTTGTCCTTTAATGGTTATTGTATGGGAACCGAGGAGGGGAAAATTGGGTTTTTCGGATTTGGCGAGAAGGAGAAGAGATAAAGAAAATGGAAAGCGAACACAAGGGGGGTGACTTTACTATTCCTACGTTACGGAGAGATTCGCCCCGATTAGTAGTTTCTCCTTTATGATTATCCTGTGATTGGTAGTTAGGGAAACAGAGCGATTTTCAGTGCGTGAGTATCGAGGGAGGGAAGAGAAGGGTGTGGCTGTGAGTGCCAGCATACAGGGACCAATACACTCTGTCATTACCTCAGATTCGTCAACTTCCAGACCTATGTTTACCTGCGCCACCGCGTAGGCCTATGTCAGCTGTTGGGCGTGTCACCGTCTCGTATTATCATGGTGGGCGGTGGGTTAGGGTGGGCTGAGGGAGGGCGTGCTACGTTTGGGGCTTGTGGTTAAGGCAGGTTTTCGGTTATACGATCTCAATCTAGCGTAGGCAGTCCTAGCAGGAAGTGTTAAACGGTTTCGCGTGTTGCAAGGAACACTCTCTCCCCCCTCCCTCCCACTGTACCTAAAGCTCAAAGCCGAACGAAGCGACTGCCGAAAATGTGATGCTTGTGACCGAAGCTTTATGCAAATTAATCCTTCCTCGGCCATAAATCTCGAGGCGTCCGTTTTGGGCCACTTAAATTGCCATTTATCCCGTGTGTGAGAAGAAGAAAAAGGACGCTTTGATAGCAGTTTAGGGGCAGGAAATCGGACGCCGGTGAGGATATGTTCAGAAACGGAAGTGACAATATTCAGGATCTCGAAACAAGACTAATCGTATACATGTCGCTTAGCTGATTAGGAACAAATAACTGAATCCATTCGATAAATAAGAAATCATGCAACGAAGCCAAATCAGGTTAAGAGTGATTACCAGGTTGGAAGTGCCCGTTTCGTAAAGTGAGAAATTATCTTCGGAATGATTGCTCGTCACAGCAAAACCACAAACGAGTATTCTAACGCACGCTCACACGCTTACTTTAGACATATATCACGAGCGTGACTAATGGTGGATGGCCGCCCGCCACCACAACATCTACTTTATTTAATTGCATGTTGCGTCGTGGGTCTCTGGGTGGGCGTGGGGTGGGATGATGGGCGTGAGGAATTGGAGTGCAGAGCGACGGATGGGTGTGGGGTGAGAGGTTGGGAGTTGAGGATGAGGCGAGAGTAGAAAAAAGATTGGGCAGAGAATGAAATTAGGTGTGGAAATTGGGTGATTTAGAGGTGTTGAAAGCAAGACAAAACTTTCTCTTTGGTAGATGAATAAATGCAAAGTTATTATGTCTTTCTTTTCTCTGTCTTCTTTTTTAGATAGTAATTTGATAGTGCTTTGTTGTATCAAGACAGTAATTCGTTCAATTATGTCATTTAGTTGCCACTTCCAGATGTGATAAGTAAAATGTAATTAAACAGTACTTATTTATCAATAATATGCAACAATCACGAATTTCTCCCTTTCCCCCCAAGCAAGATTTTCCGAATGATAACGATTTCCACTCGCTTTTCAAAACCAAAAGATGAAACAGACCCCAGATTCTGACTGTCTTTTGTTTTCTTCTTCCAGGAATACCAACCGCTACGTCCACCAGCCAGGGCGCATAGAGGACTACGTGCCTGGCCATTCCTCACTCTCGGAGAAGGAGCAGAAGAAGGTAGGCGAGACCGGGAGGGCAAGGATGACTGCTCTGTAATGGTGGGGGGGGGGGGAGGTGTTGAGAATGGGGGAGTAAGGAGAGTAGGAGGGAGAGAAAATAGGAGTAAGGAGAGTAGGATGGAGAGAAAATGGGAGTAAGAAGAATAGGCAAAGGAGAAGGGAGTTAGAGCAGGAGGACCCTTCCTCCTTCTCGGAGTAACAAGAGAAGGCATAAAATAGAGGAGTAAGGGGATTGGGTTAAAATACGCGATGACATACGAGTAACAAGAATAGGGAGTAAATGGATAAGTAAGACAGGATAAGGCGTGAAATGCTAAGATAAATTTAGGAATAAACTAGAGTAAATGTAAAGTGGGAAGAGGGTAAAATAAGGATAAGTGAAACAAGACTTGTAGTGGATAGGTGAATAAGAATCAGGAGAGAATAGGTGAGTAAAATAAGACTGGGCGATAGTAAGTGAGATTGAGAATATCTGAGGTTAGGGTGAAAACGTGCTTATAAGATGAGCTCATTGAGTAACTTAGAAAAAAGAGAGTGTGTGGATGACTGAATGAACCAGGAGCAAATAGGTAATCCAGGGATAGGGAGAAAGGGTAATAAAGACAGGAAAAGGTTGAATGGAATTAAAAGAGATGATGAGTTAAATTAGGAAAGAATATGATAAGTAGGGGCAATCAACTAGACCCTATGTAGAGGTTTGCTGAGGCAGTTCTCAGTAGAAGGAAGTTAAACAAAAAACATAGCGGTAATGAGCAAAAAATCAGACGTTTTGTCAAAATAAACCAAAATATTGGACACCCTACTTTTTGCTATTTTGTGCCTCCACCTTTTTTTTTGCCTTTTCACCACCAAAGGCCTACGTGTCTTGCATGCACCTCTGCTATCCGAGCACTTTTGCACACAGCATCGACAGGTGTACAGGTGTGAACATCAAGCCCCTCTACATGTTCACCTGAAAATGTACGTGTTCAGCACGCTGCAGCACGGCCATGGCTAGTCCATCTCCGCCAAACCTTGATGTTTAGTTCAATATAATACCCCTAAAAATGTTCACTTTTTCTGGTCACACACACCCCTACCCCGGCTCTACCCACTATACTTATTAACTTTAAGATAATGCTCTCCCAAACTGTACTGCCTTAAAAGAAGTGTTGATTGACTCTCTACCTCTCTTTTCCACAAATCGGGGAATCCAACAGCCAAAAGTGAGTTATTTAAAGGAAATGCCTTTTACCATTGACGTTGGTTTGGAAGTAAGGACGAATGGTGGATTAGTCGACTACAAATGTTCTACACAGAAACAACAACAAGATTCTAAGACCGAGAAGAAGAAAAGAACACAGGTTCAGTGCCTTCGTGAACATTAATCGACATATCCACATTTCGTGAAGCAGCATTTATATATTCTCAAAATATTGATGTTTTTTGACTCATGGGATGATAAGAATGCTTTAAGATAATTTTGATCCTAGCGACACAGCCAAGTTACAACCACTAAGTACCGAAAAAAAACACGTAACTTAGATCCCAACGCCCCAAAACTAGTAGCAGTGGATTCTAGAATGTCAGCTCTAAGTTGTAGTCATGTCGTTGATGTTGTTGTAGTGTTGATACACAGAAGTCCAGTCCCTCCAGTAGAACATGTGTAGATTGCTTTTGTTTGATCCATCCACACACACATAGCAGTGTTCGACCTCCATTGTAGCATGAAGATAACTTGGCTGTGCTTGCTCTCCCCCAAACAGATTTGAATATATGTGACATACTTTTAGAGACATGTGACCCATATTGTATATATGTAGAGTGGCTTTGAAGGTTTCGTGCCCGCTGTGGATAACGCAGGCTGTGGTACCGTAGCCTCGAGCTGCCACGTACTCCTTGCTCGCTCAACCTTGGACTCTTATGGCACTACCTGATGGCACTCACGAAGCTGTCATTTTCTTTCATGTTATCACGTGCTTTGTTTTGTTGTTGTTGTTGTTTTTTATCTTTTCTTCATATTCCGTATAGAACATTTTCCGGATACGCTTTTGCAAAATCACAAAATTTTAAAAAGGCAATATTTCTTTCTCATTCAAAGCACATTTCAGTAAAAGAAACCCACAGAAGATTCAGTATATGATAATAATTTAAAAAATCAATTCCAAAATATCTACCCAAATTAAAGGAGAAGACGAAAACGAAAATAAAAGGGAAAATATCAAAGGTTGAGTCGTGCAGGAGGTCGTGAGGCGCCCCCTTTTAGTCGTAGCAGCTGTAGTGCTTGGTCACATGCGCATCATGTTGTTCTCTTCTTTTCCATGTACAAAATCCAGAACCCGGAGGCTGATATTAAAGTCGAGGTTGGTTTGTTTTCTGTTTTTTTATGTTTTGTGTTTTTCTTCTTTTCGTTCCTTTTTTTTCAATTGGTTTATATTCGGTTTTATGTACATTTCTCTTTCCTTCTACGACTGTCTTTTATTTTTCAAAGAAGAGTGTTTTCGCAGTTTCTTTCACGAGTAAAAATATTAGATATTCGAAGATTCGTTTGTTTTAGAAGTAATGTCTTTTTTTTACATATTTATTTGTGTTATTTGGTTTCAGTAATTGTAATGAAAACACATTTTCTATTTCTTGCATTTTTTCTTAACCATCGTTACATGACAAATATTAGAAATGTGAATTGGCAGTTAATATACAATACTAACAACGACATTCAATTTTCAATATATACTTCTAATTGCCTTGCAAACACAGAAATTATATAGTTAAATATTTTAAAGGAAGCTATTATGAATTTACAAATTGAAAATATATATATGTTAAGTATGTATATTGATATAAGATATATCGCTTAAATTAAAAATGCTAACACGCATGCATGAACGCACGCCTACGGCAGCTGACGCACCCACCAGCACACACACACACACTCACTCACACTCACACTCACTCACTCACTCACTCACTCTCACTCACTCACTCACTCACTCACTCACTCACTCACTCACTCACTCACTCACTCACTCACTCACTCACTCACTCACACATACACTACATTCTATTTACATGTTATTCACTAACCCAAGTGTTAGGTTGATGCAGTATACATAATCTTGCAACTAAAATTTTCTTAAGATTCACTACGCACCGGTTTATGAGGGTTATTCTGGTTATGTTTCTTTTTTTTTTTCCTTTTCTTTTCTTATTTGATCTTCAGACGGATGGGTTTTGTATCATACCAGCAATTTAGAATTACTCGACGCCATCTACCGGAATTACTGGCAAGTAACTGGTTTATGAAATTGCCGAATTTGAAGTCCGATTTCGTACGTGTAAAATGTTATAGTTTTTTCTATGCGGAATCAGCGTCGATCAAAGCGGAAAAAAAGTCATACACTGAGATATACTGCACTCAACACTGTATTCAGAACCACACACAGTATGACTAACAACCTAACATCACTTCTGACCATTTTACTCTCTTGATCTCAGTCGCCAATGAGAGCTCCACGCCACCACCACACAAATGCAAGCACGATACTAACCATACCCACACTGTATACTCACCATTACCGATATCAACACCATATATTCACCCATAACGAACTCAACACCCCACTGACCATCACACATTAACATCACGACCTCCGTGACGTCACAGCGACAGTGTGAAGCTAAAATGAGCCTTATTCCCCTTCAGGCCAAGTCTCAGGAGCCCCCGCCGGTGTCCGTCAACCACAGGCTCGGGTCGCAGAAGATGTCAATGACCCAGTAAGTATTGCGTGCGTAGAGGAGACCGTAGAGTAGCATTAGCGTTGACAGTTGACGTGGGAGATTCACTGCGTCCTTGAGCATTGAATAAACAGGAGAAAGTTGGCCTACATTTTTTTTATTTGTGTTATTTGCTCTATCAACATATCTTATGGTTTTGAAGCAATGTGGATAAATGTTTATTTTTGTGGTTCGCCGAAACGTTATCGACTTTGCCTTTAATTACTGCTTCACTCCCGTTTGAGAACGTTTTATATTCATCTGTTTCATCTGCTTAGTCACCCGATGATTGCTATCAGTCGCTCTCGCTAATAACTGTAGGAGTGACGTCCATCATCCAGTTCTGCTTCAGATGCCTTTATTATTCGGGCTCTAGTTCATAATGTTCATCGACGAAGGGCGCCTCCGCTCGCTGCCACAGTTATTATCGGGAGCACAGACTGGTAACTGTCACAGCGCTCGGCATCTGCACCTGTAAGAGGTCCGATATCTCAATGCTAACCGTTGCCGACTCTCTTGACTTGTAACTAACGCGATCCGCCCTGCAACGTGTCATCGCAGTGCCCTGAAGGAGTCTGGATACGAGAGCGATAGCACGTTGGTGTTCCGTAAGCGAGAGGACGCTCGCCGTCAGCCCCCCGACCCGAGGAAGACCAGCCAGGTGTACCGTCAGGTGAGCTCGGGGAAGAGAGAGTGAGGGGGAAGCGGGAGAGGGTCGTGAGGGAAGCACCTCTTAATGGGCTCTGTAAATGTGCTTGCTTCTTAAAAGGACGGCTTCTCTCTATTCAGGTCCTTCATGTATCGGACTGCATTTCTTTCATTTCCTCCTTCTTTTCCTTCTTTATTCCGTGTAGGGTCTGTCTCCCTCCTCTTTCCCTTCGGCCACCAGCTAACACCCACCATTCACCCTGACTTGTAAAGACACTGCCTTTTCCTCACCTCTTTGTTTCTTGTCTCACAGATTTTCCTTTCTTCAGAAAATATTTGGGTGTCTTACACAACTGACGTATGGAATATACCTGGAAGATATATGATATACACTATAATGTCTGTATATATATATATATATATATATATATATATATATATATATATATATATATATATATATGTGTGTGTGTGTGTGTGTGCGCGTGTGTGTGTGCGTGCGCGTGTGTGTGCGTGTGTGTGGTGTTTATGTATGTGCGCGCGCTCGCACGTGTGTGTGTGTGTGTGTGTGCGTGCGCATTAGAAACGCACTGGCACTTTCTGACGCAAGAACCGTGCCTTCCCTTGCAGATCCAGCGCGGCGGCGACATCCCCCTGACCGGCCTGCAGAAGTCGGCCCCCGCCAAGCCGAAAGGTACAGTTTGTGACAGCCTCTGTTCCTTTGCATCGTTATTTATGTTGTAACACAGTTGACCTGTGATATCGTACATGTAGGAGGTCTGACTGCAAGTTATCCTCGAAGATTTATTTTTTATTAAACCTTTAGATAATTTCCTAAAGTAGTCTTAGTGGGTGAATGTTCTTTTCATCATACAAATTTGTCTAATCAACCTTATGACAGTCTTCGACTTGATTTGTAGAGAAGACCTTCTTAGTTAAATGTTATTTAATTCAGTCATTTTATTTCCTCTATTTCTGTATGTGCCAATATGTTCTTATCATGAATTGTGAACTCTGAACGTGACCAAAACAAAACATGTTTGTGTAAGTAATTCGTCATTTGGCTAACAAAGAACCAGAGTGCATTTCATATCTAGCCATGTTTTGTTAGGCGAGCATCTTGACGGTGTCGCTGTGTTTGCGAGGTAGTGGTAGCACATGGTAGTGGAGCCCTGGGTGGCGGAGCACGGGGTATCATGTGTGCATGACAGGTCGCGCCCTCCTGCTACCTGCTCGTGTTGCGCCTGGCCTCGAGGCGCTGTGCCCTGCGGCTGTTCCCTCCAGGCGCCACACGCATGGACACTGGCCATAGGACAGCATTCTGTCTTAGGCCGTGCAAGTGAAAAATGATTTCATACGCTCCTTTTATTTTCGTCTCCTTCTTTCTCAGTCTTTAAGGATCTTACTCTTTGAGTTCGAAGGTACATCGTCTGATGGTTTTTGCCATTTGTGGACGTAGGTGCATGCCACTCTCTCCAGCTTTCCGTCTTTTCTTCCTTAGAGCAATCTTTACACTGAAAGTAACATTATTCATGTTTCCTTCTGCGTTGATAACAACACAAAGGTTCCTAAAGAAAGCAACATTTGAGACGAACTGCTGGAGCATTGAGGCTCTTGCTGTATCATTCACTAGTAGATCGTAAGCACCGCTGTAGCCTTGCTGTGTTTTGTAACTGGTCTTGCTGCTGCTGGCTGTATCCTGAACCATCAGCACCCACGTATCCCATGATTAATATCAGTTGTTTCACATCGAAAACATCATGCATCTGATAACATCACGGAATCTTTCACATTCATTCTCTCATTTAATTCATTTTCACGTCATCTCTTTACGCCCGTCCCCATGCATTGGACCTTCCCTTCATCCTTCCCCCAACTTATTGAATCGGAAATCTGTAGCAGGTTTGCACGTCGTCATCCGTGACTTCCTTCTCGCATCCTGACCAGTAATCCTTCATCCTCCTCACAGTCCGTCCACTCTGCACACTTCCTTTCCCTCTCCACGGTGCACCCCAGACGCTCAGCGCACACCTATATTCATCATCCCACATTCAAGAGCATGCATCTGCCCTCTCAACGGAGGATTTCGTCTTGTCGGGTCATTTGTATATACAGTATGTATGCACAAGTATCAGAAGCATCGTAATTTGCACCAGTAATATTGTAAGAGCACGAGGACATCTCTTTCACAGCTGTACAAAAAGCAAGGTCACTCAGAAGGAATGCCTGCAGAAGCACAGTCTCAAAGCACTTATCAGTTGATGCCTCACCTCAAGTACAGTTCTTCGCAATCACAAGTATGGCAGCACTCAAGTAGTTGGACAGATATTGATCATCTGGCCGCGCTGGGGACAAGGGAGCACGGAAGCATAGAAGACAGCATCCACCAACTCTTCTCCGCACAAGAACGAGGCCAACCTCTGGTCTGTCACTGATGCAGCTCCTGTTACAGACGACTACTACGTGGTGTACTCTGACCTGGACCTTGGTCTGCACCATCCATCCCTCTCCGACCTGGCCTACGCCCGTGTCTCACCAAGAGCCATGTCACCACCGGCCAAGCCTCCAGTGCCAACCTTTGGGGAACGGAAAAGGTCGGCACCCTCCAAAGTGTCCCTGGCCCCGTCACCTCCGCGCCGCATATCGTCCAAGTGGCACCCGTCCCTCATGAAGGCCTACAAGGACCGGCCTCCCATCCCTTCCCCAAGATCCACCTCGGCCGAGCGAGTGCGAGAGACGCGAGCTCTGTATTCCACATGGCATCGTGAGAAGGTCGCCCGTTCCAGGGAGAAGCTGGGCTCCTCTCCTGCCAGAACCAATTCCCTGGGACGAACATCCTCGTCAGCCAAGCAGTCCAGCGAGGTTCGGGAGAACTTCCTGAAGGAGCGTCGTGCTGTTTCAGAGTCCCGTTTTACTCTCGAAGATCGTGAGAAATCGCCGCCTCGAAGAACGCCTTCGCCCCCTAAGGCTAGTTCCCCTGTTAGACAGGCTGACGGTCGTGAAAAACTGCACCACAGAGCCTCCTTGAAGGATGTATCACCTGACAAAGCAGGGGCATACAGGAGCAAGGTTCAGGAGCCACTTGTAACAAAAGGCCACAGCAGGTCGCTCAGTGCTGATGCGCAGAGAAAATGGTCAAACACCTCGACAGAAAGCGGGATGTATAGTGTCACACGACACACAGTGAGTAGCATGAATAAGATCAGAAGACCATCGCAGCAAAATGCGGTTGACAGTCGAAGTAGTAGCGCTGATGCCACCTGTAGGAGGAGGCGAAGCAGCTGTTTATCCCCAGAGCCACAGCTGGCTTCCAGGAAGTCGCCAGTCGGTCGGAAGGACAGCCGTCACAGAGAGTCACCCTATTCAGATGTGTCTCTGGAAGTTGCTGATGACAAGAAACTAAAACAGAGTGAAAGCTTTGACACAACCCAAAGTAATGAGACAGGGTACTCCAGCATGCTCGACCTTTCGCCCTCACCAGTGCCAGACAGGAGGACCGAGGAGCGCCGAGCAAGGAAAAAGTCTGAATCTCCAGTGCGGCCGCACTCAGCCCCTGCCCCGAGGCGCTCTCGCTATTCGCACTCTTTCAGCGAACAGAGGAACAAGTGGGAGGCCATAACACGGGGTGAGGCTGTGGGTCGCAGGTCTCGTAGCCCATCAAGAAGCACGTCGCCTCTTCGGTCCCTCCAGCTGGTGCGGCAAGTGAGCAGCAGCTTTAGGAACATTCCAGTAGAGGTCTTTTCAGAGTCACGTCGGAGTAGGAGTCTGGAGGTACTGACCCCCTCGCCCCACTCTCACCCCCAGCGCTATCGCCAGTACATCCTGGAACTTAGAAACGCCGCTCCTCGCAATGCTCGCATCTCGCAGCTGCGGCGCTTGTTCACGTCGCTTGAGCGCGTCCACCGCCTCGAGCGCTCTGTGAGTACCGTGGAGCTCTCTGCAGCAGATAATCGTGCCCATGAAATTATAGATTTCGAGACGTGGAAGAGTATGCGTGAAAAGGAAAGAAAGGCTCTTGAATATAATGTACTCCTGAAGGAACTGAACGTGGCTCAGAAGGAGCGAGAGTTCCTTTACAAAGTGACTCCGGAGAAGAAATGGGCCGGTGACTGTCGACTTCGAGGCCGTGACGTGAGTGTCCCAGAGCTTCGGGAGAAATTTGATTCACTCACAGATAACAGTTCCGAGATCTCACAGAAGCGACGCCAGGAGTTGGAGAACTCCAAGGACACGTACCGAGGATTGTGGCGGGGCTCCTCGGTCCGAGACGTGTCGCGGATGTACGAGAGTCCCGAGCGAAGCCGCAGTAGCAGGCGCGGTTCTAGTCTGAGTCTTTCACGTGAAGATTCGGGTATAAGAGCTCGTGGCCTTTGGACCAGCCTCAGCCTGGAGCAAGTCAATGCCTTTCGCGACCACCTCACGGAAATCTACGGCTCGATGCAGAATGTCCGTTCTTGGCGAGAGAGGAAGCAGATGAGTATGGAAAGGACACCCAACAAGAGCCAACGTGAGCTTGCCAAATACAGCGTGGATGTCTCGGAGACAGGGCGCGTCCTGGCAGATAAGCTGCGTACCCTGCATGTGCGCCCGCCGCCAGAGTCCACCAGAAGGCCTCCCTCCAGGCACTCATCACCTCCAAGGGCTGCGAAGAGTTCCAGTAATGTTCATCAGTATGAGGATCAGCGACGTCAGCTCTCGAAGCAGCTGTCCATAGAATTTCAGGAGAAGGTAAAAGAGCAAAAGTCAGGTCGTAGACTGGAATCGACACCTGCCATGCTCGACAGTCTGCAAGTGCCGGACCATCCAACGTCGGTCAGTCCGGAGAGTCTGTCTCGGTCTTCACCCCGCACCTGTTACTCCCTCGACATTTCGGACTCGTCGGAGCCCAACTCGCTGAACTCTGGCGACCAGTTCCTCCTCGTGGTTCAGAAACCCGGAGGTCACGGCCGCAGCAACAGTCTCCCCCCGGAGCAGGGGAGTGAGGCTGACTCGAGTGATTCCGAAATGTCCGTCCGAACTGTCGTCCACAAGGATGTTGCAGGAAAGGTCAAGTTCTTCGAAAAACGAGCTCGACGTAACTCCAGGTCATCGGAGAGGCACTCCTCCCGCGGAAGCCGCCTCAACATTGATGAGGTTCCCCATTACGCAACGCTTCCGTCACGCCTGAAGCAGCAGTCTCAGAACAAACTGTTTTCTCCCAACTACCTACCCGAGAGGTCGGTCTCTTCTGTCAATTTAGCAAACAAAGGGGAATTATCGTGGCGCATTTACGACAAGGCCAATCCAGTGAGCTCCTCCTCGATTCAGCGTCTGTCTGATCAGCCCAAAGACAAGCGAGACCAAGTAGACCCCACTTCTCATTCTCGCTCGTACCTTTACCACGTGAAGACCGGCGACGTGAACCGCCTGAAGGATCGCTTCGAGAGTCCCGAGGATGCCCGCCGCCGCGCGCGCTCCCTGCCGGACATGAACGGTTCTTTGTCTCGTGTCACGCCCTCGGGGAAGACTGTGGTGCGAGGCCAAGAGGCAGGGGACGTGCAGTACATGCGCGCCAAGTACGAAGCGCCCAGGCGATCGCGCAGCCCCGAGCGATGGCAGCCGAGTCGCGACGAATACTTGCCCAAATCCAAGCTGACAAACACCCTACAGTCCCTGGCTTCCCGGTCGCCAGCATTCTGCGAGCCAGCGACCGTGGAGAGGCTGGCACGCCGAGACTCCGTCGAGAAGGCAGTGTTACGGCGCGTCCACACGGGGAATGTGGAAGCTTCCGTAGATCGCTTGGAGAGCCAGCAAACAGGGTCGGGTGTGTCTATTATCGGTCAGATGTACACCTCTGCGCCCTCTGTGAATGAACTGGCCAACATATCAACCTTGGTCCCTCCACGCCCGCCCCCGCCGCTCATGGGGCCACAGAAACCACAGCGAATGGCGGTGCGAAGCAACATCCAGCCGCTCCTGACGTCCACCCCGACGCCGTCTCCGCGAGACGCTCGGGCTGTACATAAGCAGCGGGCCCTCCAGGTGACCGAGCCCGTGTGCTATCCGCCCTCGCAGCTACACCCTCCCCCAGGGGCTTCCGCCACCTTCACCCGCTCGTCCTCCTCTGATTACAACGCCGACGCCCACCGTCCCAAATCGCGCTACGTCCCTCCCGAGTCGTACGGGTCCCCAGGGAGCGCTTCCCACGCGCGCGGGAGCTGGACCCAGTCCCTGGAGCGGCCGCACCGCGTGACCCGTGCCATGACCAACACCAACCCCCCCGCGCCCTCCCGAGGCAGTAGCCATTGCTACACCCTGCGGCGGCACCACCAGGTGCACCACGCCCACCACACCCCCCGCGCCGAGCACCACTCCCCCTCACAGCCTCATCCCTACTCCAATACCTACTCCCAGATCACGAAGCCATACCAACCTTACTCCCACAGTCCAGGACGAGACCAGAACTACAACAACAAGGTCGTCTCATGGAAAGGTGCTAGAGTTTTATTTGTTTCATGACCTGTCACTAGCAAGGTCGATTTCTACAGGTGAAGGGTCTCATACTTCTACGACTTCTCTATTACATCACTTAGGTAGACATTCCTGCATTTTCACCGGTCTGTAGGTAGCCATGCTCTCTTCAGACTTCCACGGAATCCGTGTTTCTGTAGCTCCTTGAAGAGAGTTCCATTGGCATTATTGCCCTTCGTTTTTTCTTCGTTTTCCTCTGCCCCTCTCTAAATCCTCAATGTATTCCCCTTTTTCCTACAGCTTTTATAATTCACGCATACACTTTGAAGGGACTAGTGGAGTAAAACGTTTCAAGGGTCAGCACTTGAAGAATACCACAATGCCGACGATATTGTCATTAACATCTGAGGAATATACCTCTGCACTCAGTGTAGTTATAAGCAAACTCTTATGATCATAATTTAGCACATATGGTTACGTTATTAGTTAGCATCTGAGCAATTATATTTTCACCTTTATTTGAAAATGATTGTAACTTCCAGTAAGAGCGTAACTTTGTTTCACAATTTGATTATTTTGCATATACAGTTGATTTACCTGTAACAGCCTTTTTCTGTTTTATTTGAAATGCCTGGGGCATAGACTCCAATTTTTCTTTCCCTCTTTGTCCCATCTTCAAGACACTCTTTTCTTGTTGTATATCGAGTCACATTCTTCCTCATTCCTCCTGCCTCTCTGCCACCCTGTCTCTCCCTCTCGCTATCTTGGCCTCCGTTTCTCCGACTTTCCTCCGCTCATGACCCGTCCTGACCCTGTGGTGGTCTTGCCACAGAACCGCTGATCGGCCCGCTGCCCTTCCCCTACCTGGCGGGGGCTCATCAACACCCTCCCAGACGTCCAGGTAAACAAGCCCTGCGGATCTCGCGGCGCTCTGACGGCCCCGCACCACGCTCGTCGAGGCGGGCCGCAAGGGGCGCGGCACGCTAGTGCTCGTGCCGTTGCACAAAACGCAGTGCATTGTGATAATTATGAGAAAATAACTCTTATAATAATAATAATATTAATAATAATAGATATTGTAATAATAATGATAATGGTAATGATGATGATAATAATAACAATAATGATAATAACAGTAATGATAATGATGAAAATAATATTGATAATGTGTATGATAATAATACGAGGAAATGCATTGCACGCCTCGCAGCCCTGCCCCTTGCACCTGACCGAGACAGCCCCTGTAAATACTCTATCTGTAAATAAACACGACTACTCAGTCTGCATCAACGGTCACACTGGAAACCCGGTGACCATCACTTAACTGACTCGCGGCCCGGTCCTGCCGTCAACACCTGTACCTGAAACAAAAAGGATTCGCTTCTTACTAACAAAGGTGTATTTATATATATTTTTCTCTCCCCGATCTTGTGGAAAACTCATAGCGGCCGCTGATTGAAGCAAGTCAAGTCTTGGCGAAACTTGTGTGTAAAACTCGAGGAGGAAAAAATAAGTTTGTGTCCGCGGACGCCCGCCTCCGCGATCAATCAGAGGCGTCATCAGTTATTCACGTGATCCAAGTTAACCCTTTCCGAGCGACATTTGTCTCCCTGGAAGGCGCTGTCAGTGCTTTCGCATTATCAATATTCCGAGTTTCGTTTACTTATTCACTCGATGTATCCATTTCACTATGCGCGCGCACGTACACAAACACGCATGCATATACAGACATACATGTGTGTATACATAGATAAATAGACTGGTAGACAGTCATAGAAAAAGATTCATATAAATAGATGCTTACGTATGTGTACAAATACTCAAAGCTCGTTTAGAAAAAATCTCCTGAAATCCGTGACATTCTTTTCCTCGCCCCTTGTTTGTTTGTTAGTGAAATCCTAAAGACACTTAAATGGCACTCATACATTCTCCACCCAGGATGCCGGCAAAATAGTTTTCATAATCTCTCTCTTGTTTTCCCCCGCGTGCCGTCACTCTTCGTAGGCATTCCACGCTTTTTATGCTCGTTTTGTTTTTGTTCCTTTCTCCGTGTTTTTAAGTATGAGCGCAAGGTAGAGGTCGGCCGGATGTTCTCTTCTCTATGAGGAAATCTGACGTTTAAAGAACTTCATAACATATGAGCATAACATATACAACACATATACATGCGTCCATATATACATTCATACATACATATATGTATGTGTGAATTTGTATGTATATGTATATATAATATATATATATATATATATATATATATATATATATATTATATATATACACACACACACACACACACACACATTCATTATGACAGTTATAATTACAAATTTACTGTAATGCTAGAAAATCGCATATGAACGAAATATCTTCCTAGGGCGGTATCTCCAGTAATTTTGGCAAACCTTTTAAAAAAATCACGGGATCGTAAATTATCTTCCCTTTTTTAATGTTCCCGCACTTACAGGTTATCTATGTTTAGACGCTTCCGGCCATGACGTCACTAGTGCTATTAATACCCCTGTCAATTTTACCGTTTCCCTGCTTTCGAGAAAATTGATTACGTAAAAAAATATAGTCCGGCCAACGAAAATAAGTTTGTCAAAGTTATCATTAGTACCATGTCATCGTTTTTTTTTTTCGTGCAATTGTAGTGCGAAAATAAAACCTGAACGTTTCAATGTTTACCTTGGATGAAGCCACTCAGGTTCAAATTAAGTACTTGGCTCGCGCCCCCGTGTGGGTTGCCGACTGTCATTAGCGTCCAGGGAGCAAGAATGTAAATAATTAGACTCGGTAACTCGGTCCAAAACTAATCACTTCAAATAATCTCCTAACTAACTAAACAGTCTCTGACATTTTAAAGAAAGAGCCACCAAATAACTTTACCGTACGCGAAGCTGTGTTCTGTATCAGCAATAATTTAACTCTCCCCCACCTCCTCCCTTTACCCCCCCCTCCCCTGATCTCTATCCTCCTTCTCCTCCTCACACGCCTGAATTTCTTACGTTTGGTTGAGAGTTAACACCGAGGGAGTTGGTAGTGGTCTCGTGCTCGCAGACCGTAGTGGGTGTGTGACGCGCTCTCTCTCACCGGAGGAGAAAGGGAAAAACTAAATCTGTTTTTGGTTCCATTTTCTCACCATCCTCCCCCGGCATCTCTTCACACCTGGATGTTCTTTGCATATCTAACATTTTATTTCTTCGGTGGATGGTTCATTTCTATGCCGCTTCAATGCCGCTGATGCCAGGTTAGAGATCTGGTGTGGCATTACCGCTTTGTGGTGATGGCTACTAACTGCTTTTTTTTTTTTTTTTTTTTACTGATAATTGACTTTTCTGTATTTTGTGTTCTATGTCTGTCCCCCATAGGGAAGAATAGTAAGTATACATGCCATTTGCAGTGTTCAAAAGATTTTTCATTTTTCATATCCCTTCCATATCCACGTAAGAAAATGTGCAAAATTATTTCATGTGCTACAAATACCTGTTTTATCGAGTAATGTCATAATTCTGATTGATATATCCTATTTGAAAACACTTTAAATTGTTTCTTTGTTTAAAAATAAACCTTTGAATACGAGTTAGAGCATCCTCGAGCAGCCACTGACTCCGGAACCCCCCTCTGCAGAATCCCCCTACAAGTACGAGTCCGGAGAGGTGAACATCCACTACCGAACTCCCGTGAGGATTGAGCAGAAGGAGGCGATTCCCGAGGAGGAGCTCGCCCGCCGCCAGGAGGAACACATGAAGAAGGTGTACGAGCAAGAGCGACGCAAGAAGTACCTGGCCGAGCTGGAGGACATCGAACGCAGGAGACACACGGACAACTTCACGTAAGTAGGAGGGAAGGGTTGCGAGGCCCTGCGCGCCCCCGGCTGGGTCCGAGGGCGAGGAAGGTGGTATGCACCCCGGGCGGCGTGGGATGTTTACGTAGTGGGATTGCATTGTATATAAACGCTGAAGTAGTCCTCTCTCCTTCTCACCTGGTAGGATGCGCGCACGTGGTGTCGAGTATACACCAGTACATAGACACACACATACACACACGCACATATGCATACACACACACACACACACACACACACACACACACACACACACACACACACACACACACACACACACACACACACACACACACACACACACACACACACACACACACACACACACACACACACACACACAACACACAACACACACACACACACACACACACCACACACACACACACATACACACACACACACACACACACACACAACACACACATAACACATACAACACATGCATATATATATATATATATATATATATATATATATATATATATATATATATATATATATATATATATATATATATATATATATATATATATATATATATATATATATATATATATATATATATATATATATATAGTGTGTGTGTGTGTGTTGTGTGTGTGTGGTGTGTGTGTGTGTGTGTGTGTGTGTGTGTGTGTGTGTGTGCGTGTGTGTGTGTGTGTGTGTGTGTGTGTGTGTAAAAACACACACATTTGACACTCACAGTGTTATACAACATGCTGCGTTCTTTTGTCTGAGGCTATGTCCACCATTAATCAATCTATTCATGTATAGATATTGAGGCTTTAAAAAATGTGTTTCTGTGATAAGAACGATGCTGGAATAAAGTCACATTTCATATATCCGCTCTGTCTCACTTCATAATCTTTTTGTGGCAAGCAGAACAAGCTCAGTTATTGTAGTCATACACATATCAATCTATAGAAAGATTATCTTAATAAATTTTGAAAATTAGTTGCACTTTTGACTCCAATCACATTCTTCTCTCTGTATTTTTGAGTATATTCACTCTTGTAGTATGTATATTATTACTCATGTTACATCTCATGAATATCTTAAATACTGTACTACACCCATTCCAATCTTTCTTGGTGTAAGATTAGTAGTGAGAGGGTTTGCATATGCATATACACCAGCAGATGAGTTTTGATAATTTTATTACTATTGACAAAAAGCTTATACGTTGATCAGTTAAAAGGAATTTTGTGAATCCAGATGGCATAAAAAATACCATTATCCAAAATAAGGTACGAGATACATTCCAAAATTAAGGAATAAAGTAGAATGACAGCATACATACCAAGTGCTCGAAACGTCGTAGCATAATAAAGTTAGTGCATGGCTTAGAATACAATGTAGTCATGTAATGCACAGCATGTCTATAGAAAGCTTTATTTTTATCACCTGATATTGCATGTTAGTGCATGCTACATAGTCTATATATATTTATTATATTTTGTTTTATATTGTCATATATTTTATAGTTTTCTTCACTAATTTAGTTGAAACTTTTCTGTTTTAAATCAATTTTATGCTGGAGGTAAACTAAACTCTTTGTTAAATTCAAATTAACATCTCCTTTTTATAGTTTCTCTGTATTCCATGTCTGTAGTAGCAAATTAGAAATCTTTTTATTGCTTTCTGTGGTATTCATGACAGATTCTGATGACAGTTCCAAAATACCTTTGTTAGTGCTTCAATATCAAACAAGTTTTTAATGCTTACACTTCAACAATGGCCATTTATTCCCCCTAAATGTTTGTGAGTTTCCTTATGCAGCTGTGCCCAAATTAATATAATGTTCTTAGGTCTTTTACCCTCCCTTTAAACCTAAAATTAAGCTTTAGTCCCTTATTCATTGCTTTAATAGTACCCTAGTACCCTATAATACAGTCCTTCCTTCTCCATAGTATAAAATTTTCTCCCTCTCCCAATGCCTTAAGTCCGTCTGATCGGGCATCGTCTTGCAGCTCCCCTCAGGCACGGCGACGTTACCTGTCCACCCTCAAAGTTGTGTCCCGCCTCTTCTCCTCCGTCTTCTCCCTCGCGAGGAGTAAACACAACAACCCCCAGGCCACCCCACAAGATATTGAGGTCCACATTGACAAAGAGATACAAAAATGTGATAGCGAGTTCATGACTACCGTGCATAGCGATCAGAATGGAGTGGCGATCTATATCTCAGAGGAGATATATGTTTAGTGTATTTATATTCCAGTAGATGAAAACATTGAGCGGACAAATTAGCAATGTAAATGTATATTATTCCAAAATGACTTCGCACAGTGGGCATGTTACAACAAAAGTGTACAGGAAAACACCTATCAGTTGTACATACACAATTGTGTTTGCAGGAGAACAACAAAAAATGAGAGACAGATTTACTGTCTGTGCCAGAGCTTTTTTGCATAGTGACTAATGTAGATTTAACATTATTAGATCCTTGTATCCTGGTCTGCATGATAAAATGCATGAAGGTATGTGTTATGTCATTAAATTTTTTTGTACTTATATTGTCAGTGAAAAGACTTTATTCTTGGCCAATTCCTGATGTTTACAAAGCTGAATTTCATTCAGTATAACTGCTTATTTTTTCATGTGTAACAGACGTTCTTATTAGAATGATACAACAGTAAAGTGATTTTAGTTCCTAATGGTGTGTTTTTAGTTTATATTAAAATTGAGTTACATAAATATTTTTGGTAGATA